TTTGTAATACTATTATGATAGTATTATGCCTGAAGACTAAAAATGAGAAAAAATGCTTATATCCCATTAGTGTCAGTTTTTATATAGTCCCTCAAGTCTGCATCAGTTTACCATTTACATTTTTATTTCAAAAATGATTTTCCAAATACACGGCAATAGCACAAGTCATTTTACCTTAAATAAAACCATGGAAGTTCCATTTACTTCAGTGTTCAAACAAATGAAACATTTGCAATGCAATTTTAAAAGTCAACTTTCCTTCTTGGTGTTTATCAGAAAATAAATCCAGCCCACAGAATGAAATGTACACATTAAAACCTCATTATAATTGGGAACTAGGAAAGGCCAGTATCAATGGCAAGTGTTTGGAAAGCTATGCTATTTTTGCTAACTTCCCAAGCCTTCCAAGTTTATGAAACCTACTACAATATGAAGAGGCACTGAATGTTTGGCACTTAAATAGGGGTTCACAAATGTTCATGCATTCATTTGAAGTATCACATAGCCCACTCATCTCTAAAGTAGCTCATTTCCCTAAAATCTTGTTTTAAATTTCTGTTCCATTTTAGTTTTCTCATGTTGTGATCAGTGAACTTCTAATTGGTGAGGCTTTACCACATCTGGAAATTTGTATTTTGGACACAGTCTTGACAAAGAGCAAGGTTATATGAATTACACAGTTACTTTTTTTCCCAAAGTTAAGACTTTGTTTTCTGACATTATCTTTAGTCATGGCAAAATAAAGTCTGATTGCTTTTCCAATGCTACCTCATGTATTTTTTGCCCCCTTATACCAATTTCTGCTGTCTGAATTTGCTCTTGGAATATAGTTTTATATTATTTAAACAAAAATAGGAAATGAAAAATCAAAGTAAACTATATGACATTATAAATTATTTCATGATTATATACTTTAGAATTATACTTTCCAATAGTGTAGACTCTGAAAGAGTTGACTTTTCCAGACAAAAACAGTATTCACTCCTAAGCTATTATCTTGAAGTTAAAAGCTTTGGAAATCTCAATGCTTTTTGCAAATGCTACCTTACTTCCGTAAAGTCAAGCAAATATACTCAAACTAGTAATGTTAAATGAAGGTCTTTGATACAAAAGTAATCAGAAAAAGCTTTAAAAAACTATGCTAGTTATTAGAGTCTTCTACTAAAAAAACTCATTGCCATTCCATTGATTTCTACTCATAGGGACCCTATAGGTAGAGTAGCAATGCCCATAAGGTTTCTAAGTCTGTAAACTTCACAGCAGCAGACTGCCACATCTTTCTCCCGTGAAGCAGCTGTTGGGTTCAAACCACTGGCCTTTCCATTAGCAGCTGAGCACTTAACCATTTTGCCACCGGGGCTCTAGTTGCTGTTGTTGTGTGCCATTGAGTCGGACCTGACTCATAACGACCCCTCCTTGAGTTTCCAAGGCAGTATCACTACGGAAGTAGATTGCCCCATCTTCCTTCCGAGAATCTCCTAAAAAACCAAACCAAACCCACTACCATTGAGTTGAGTCCATCTCATAGTAACCCCCACTGGATTTCCAAGGCTGTAAATCTTTACAGAAGTAGATTGCCTCATCTTCCTCCCACAGAGCAGCTGGTGGATTTGAACCACTGACCTTCTGATTAGCAGCCAAATGCCACCAGAGCTCCTCAGTCTTCTAAACCAAAAAAAAAAAAAAAAATCAAACTCACTGCCGTTGAGTTGATTTGACTCAGAGCAACCCCTCCTTGGGTTTCCAAGGCGGTATCTCTACGAAGTAGACTGCCCAATCTTCCTTCCGAGGAGTGGCTGGTGAGTTTGAACCGCTGGCCTTCTGGTTAGCAGTCAAATGCCTTAGGCACTAAGCCACCAGAGCTCCCATTAGAGTCTTCTAGTAGCATTTAGGGAGCTCTGGTAGCATAGTGGCTAAGACACTTGCCTGCTAACCAGACGGCTGGCGGTTCAAACCCACCAGCCACTCCTCGGAAGGAAGGTTGGGCAATCCTACTTCCGTAGTGATACTGCCTCGGAAACCCAAGGAGGGGTCGCTATGAGTCGGGGCCGACTCGATGGCACATAACAACAACAACAACAACAGTAGCATTTAAGTACTGTAATATAGACTTGGGCTAAAGGAAAAATGGAGTAAGAAACTGCTGTATATACATCGCAAACAAATGAAACATCACATTAAATTTCATATTACCTTGAGGATTTTAGGAAAAGTTATTTTTTAATTAAACACAACAAAATACATAAAAATCTGTTCTACAACCCGCATTGGTGAGTAGCAACTTGGGTCTTAAAAAGCTTTCAAGCAGCCATCTAAGATGCAGCTAATGGTCTCCTATCATCGGAAGTGAAGAAGAGTGCAAAAAATCAATGGCATTTGGAAGCAACCAGGCCTATGACATGATGGATCTTGAGACCAGACTAACTAGATGGTACCTGACTGCCAATGCCAACCACTGAGGAAAGGATCAAAACTGGAGATCCTGGATAGAGTGGGAGGGAAAATGTGGAACAAAATCCAAAAACACAATAATGACCAGAATTATTGGTTGGAGTCTGGTGGGACCCCCAATACTATGGCACTGGGATATACTTCGGGCCTATAATAAAACTCACTCCTAGTGGCTACCTCTTAGCTCAACAGTAAATAAGACATCCATGCAGACCACTAAACCCAGGGTGACGTACCCACATACTCTATGGAGATGCATCCCTTGGAACAATCGACCAAGGGCACCAGAGGGGCAACATTCACATGGGGAAATGCAGGACACACAGGAGTGCCGAACTATGAGGGGCAAGGCGGGGGGAGGGTTATTGGGAAAGGAGGGGAGGAGAGTGGATTGGGGATGGTAATTGGGAATGAAAGCAAATATATACAAAATGTTGAATGTAAAACAAACTCTGCTCTGTAAACGTGCACCTAAAGCACAATTAAAAAAAAAAAAAATATATATATATTCACACTTTAATACACTGACCATGTGAATAAGCACATATTGTCTGTACAGGAGATTCAAGGGAAGATGTAACACAATATTATACTGTAAGTGCAAAGAGACTGAAGGCCTAAAGCATCCCTTGGAAGAGAAATTTACAAAAAAAAAAAAAAAAAGTTTGTTCCTTTTTCTCTCCAGGTATAATTAATCAAGCCCAATATCCCAAAAGTAATGAAGACTCATTTCAAGTAATTACTCTGCTTATAAGTTTTATTTACATAGTAATTGTTACTAGTGGTTTTAATGAATTCCTTGTATTTACATTATATATACATTTATATTTGAAAGTTAAAGAAACTGTACAATAATAAAAATAAGAAAAAGAAATACAGTAACTTAGATCCAACTCAGGAAACAAATACACAAATGTAAGATTAAATTTAAGCATGTAGTATAACCACAGTGAGATTCCTGCCAGGAGTTACAATCTCTCTATCAGGTCCATCAATACCAAGGTAGTAGTTACCAGAGTTAAATGGTCATCCCAAAACTTATTAAGACCTTGCATATTTCCTCAATATTTTATTACACTACTGGTTTCCACTAAACAAGCCCCTATGACAGGACTTAGCTTCTGAGGGTCCCCCTAATAATCCCTAGGCTAAAAGGACCCAGGGAGTAAACATACATGGGCATGCTCTGGCCCCATAGTCCTAAAGAGACAATCAGTACACTAACAAAGATCTCAGGCTTGTTAGTTTGAAGACTATGTATCACTAACAGAAATAGTGTGCTTAAGTGTTATTTCAACTCAAACTGCAACATGAAAGCACACTATAAATCTAATTATTAACCAAATAGTATGTTATAAAGATATCATTCATAATACTCAAGTGATTTAGACTCAAAATTAAGTATTTGTATTATGATAGTAAATTTAATGCCAATTTACCAATGATTAACAATTTCGTTATCCACAAAATCATCAAAGTTAGACTCATTAGAGAAAGTTAATTTTACCTTTTTTTCTTTTACTCTTGTTTTCATTGATTAGAAAATTATGCACAATGTTTTACAAGTCAGGAACTGACTACATATTAAGATTTCAAATTTCAAACTGGAATTAAATTTTGTTTCTCTAGATAGTGGAGAAATTTTAACTAAAATATTTAAAGTCTTGCCAAGTAGCCCACTACTTAAGAACTCTTAGAACTCATTAGTTTTTACTCTTATCAGTAAAAAATCTCATTTATATTTATGGACTTACTCCCAAAGTCAAGTCTTAAGTCCAGTAAAGTGCAAATAATTTTCCTTCTTCCAGTTATTTAGTTTTCCTAGTGTTAAATTACTAGATGAACAGTTTCTTACACTGGAAACAGAGAGGCTAAAATTCTTTGAGAGATACAAATTCCTTAAGGGATAGAAACAATTTCTCTAAAAACAAATAGACACAATATTGCATAAGAACACTTCAATGAATGTTAGACAATCTCTCACCAATATTTCCACTCCCAGATAACCTAAATTTACCCCAACTGGTGAATGAAGCAAAATGACAATTGGAGAGATTTAAATACTCTGCCACCAAAATTGCTTATTCTTGGTCTAAATCTTGAGGACAGAACCGGAGATAACATCTGTACTAACGTTTATTTCAAATAGTATTTGGAGGTTAAAGTTGTATTTAACACTTCTGCTCTGACCTCCAAATGCGCCTTTGTGGTAATTATTAAAAAAGAAAAGATGTTGTAAAAAGTTGAAGTATCTCCAAAACGATTTTAAAAATTTATTGCATTAAATTGTTCACTCCAAATTATGGAGTATGAACCAGCTACTTAAACTTTTTCTTTTGTAAAATGGCTCCTCCTACAAAATACTTTTTAATAATACTGTCAACAGGCATTTCATTACTTTAGCCATGAAATTCAAAATACACAGTTTTCCATCTCTTCATTCTTTTGGATTTCTCCAAAATTGTCCTATATGCTTTTTTTCATAGGAAACAAAAAACTTTTATCAAAAAAGCTTCTTAATATTTCACTTAGTGTGTTCATTTTGAAGATTAGCTTTTCAGAGCAGGACTATTGTTCTTGTCTCCTTCTTTGATATCCTTCATTACAGATGCAAAGACCTGAAATTACATAAAGTAAAGATTAATTCGCAAAACTACCACTCAGATTAAAGATACTTAAATAATTCTAGGGGGCCTAAGGGAGAAAGACCTGGCAATCTGTCCCCGTAAAGATTACAGTCTAAAAAATCCTGTGGGACATATCCTGTCACGTGGGGTCAGGTCACTATGAGTCAAACTTGACTCGAGGGCGCCTAACATCAACAATATGAGTATGACAATGCTTTAGTATACTTAACTCTGTCCTGTGAGAAAATGCCATTCTCAAATTCTCTTGTATTTTTAAATACAATTTTATGCAGTATGATCAGATTCCAATTTTAATTTACTTGGCAAACATTCTGAAATTACTCTGTGGTAACAGAACTTTTTTGAGACCAATATGCCTATATCTCATTTTCATAAGCAATTAAACCATGAACTTATAATGTTTATTGTCTATATTATTCATGGGGCAAGTGACAATGCTATCTTTTATGTCATTTAACTTAGACTAGCAGTATGTTTGCTTCCCTAACAAAACAAAAACCAGGATCATACATTATATTCTTTCTACTGCAAACTCTGTATATTTTGCTGTCAGCCACCACCAAGTTGGCCCCGGACTCCTGGCAACTCACACACAGCTGACTGTAATGCTCCTGGTCTTGTGCCATGCCCACGATCAGCTGTGGACCAGACTGTTATGATCCATTTCATTGTTACTGGCTGATTTTCAGAAGTAGGTTGCCAGCCCTTTCTTCCTAGTATGTCTTAATCTGGAAGCTCTGCTAAAATCTGTCCACCATCATGGCAACATACAAACTTGTACTGACAAACAGGTAGTGGCTTCACATGAAAGACACTCGCCAGAAATCAAACCCAGGTCCCCTGCAGGGAAGCCAAGAATTCTAGCACTGAACCACCCCGTTTCAACCACTGTACATAGCGGGTGTCTAACAAAATTGTTTTGTATTTGAAATACTGAAATAATTATATAAATGCTCTGGCAAATGCATGGCTATCATGGCTGTTCTTCCTTAAACTCATAAAACGGTATTGAATTTATACAGAAATAAAACTATAGGCTTGGAAAGTTGGAAAAAAAAAAAGTGGGGGATGGGGGCTATCTGTTTTAACTCTTGCTTTATGAAAGCCAAAAAAATATTTTTAAAGTAGATATACTTTTAAATGTATTTATTTTAAATTTAAGAACTAACACTTGAGAAATACATTTTTTTTTTAACAAGAAGTCAAATGATTGTTTTAATACAACTATTAGAAGTAGGAAATTATCACCCTACCTGAGTCCATTTTTTGGTGCTATTCTGCATCTGAATAGCTGCAATACAGCCGAATAGCTTTTCTGATGTAATATCTTCTGGCAATTTAGTTAGAAACTGTGCTATGTGAATAAAGTCCATCTGCAGGAGAACATCTTCATATAATCGGAGGATTCCTAATCCAGTCCTAAATAAAAATTCCTCCCCATCTCTACAAAACACATCCCAGACTCGACAGGCCAGATCAAGTGGTAGTGATTTGCTATACAATGTGAAGATCCTAAAATTAGAGAGAAAAACAGTGAAATTCTACATTCATTTATTCAGTCACTCATTAAGCATCTCTATGAAAACAGTGTTTAATTAGTAATAAAAAGGCAAATAAGACATAGTTCCTTCCTTCGAAAACAGTAGGAAACTAAATAATAAACGAAAGTACATGAATTTACAACCTTACGTAGAGGTAAGGCCTAATACAAACCAGAGTGAAAGAACAGCCTGGCAGTTAAAGGTATAGACTCTGAAACCGTAATGTTCAAGTCTGACCCCTGGATTTGCCACTTAAAGGCTGTGTTACTTTGAGCAAGTTATTTTCCCTTGTTGTGCCTCAGTTTCCTCATCAATAAAGAAATAAATACTACCTACTTCTCAGGATTGTTCTGAAAATTAAAGGAGTTAATAAATGTACAGTGTTTAGAACAGTGCCTGAACATCAGAGTGCTCAGTAAAAGCTACTTATCATTCTTACTTTAGGAGGAACCCACATAGCATCTTTTAGCACCTAACAGAAATCCAGTCTGACTTCTCTCCTTTCGATTCCCTTTCCACAAACATCCACTGCACTGTCCCCTCCACCGAGCTTTACCTACTACTTCTTTTGGAGCATGCAAACCCTCCAACAGAATCACCAGAATAGTCTTTCCCATCCTTCCTGACAATGTCTGATCATGTGAGTCTTTATTCAGTGGTGCTTTGGGGTGGCATTCTTGTTGGGAAATGGGGGGAAGTTGCTAGAAGATTTGTCTTAAAGTTGCCTTGGCAAAGAAAGTATACAGTTTTTAAATTTAGATGGTGGGTCTGAGGCAGTGCTGATGGAACTTGAGGGGGAGAAACTAAAGACTTACCCCCCGAAAATACCCTTATACTCATTATTCCTCTTTTTTCTTGCTTAAATGATTCTGGGATTTGTATGTAATGAACTCATCTAAGTCAATGAAACAATAATCCATGTCTACTTCTTAAATTGTAAGTACATATTTAATTATGTAATAAAAAAGTATACTCTTGGTAGAACATTCACTCACTGTACCAAACAAGGAAGGGTGAGAGCAGTGCCTCGGCACAGCTGCTGGCATACAGTAGTCACTCGTTATTATTCCACCTGCCCCTATACCAGTTTTGATTCTGATATACTCAAATCACTCCTACAGACTAATAATTGAGATTTTTTTTTTTGGTTGTTTCACAGAATTAGTATTTGATCTTGGTTCTCTGAGTCCCATGATATGAAAATCTTTCTTCTCCCCCATTGTCTTGGATCCTTCTCATAGGAACTCTAATGTTGCTAGTGGGAAGGGAAGAGAATAATTGAAAAATAACATAGTTTTAATTAAAAAAAAAAGCCCAAATAAAAGAAGCCCCAAGCCACTGAGAAGACATCATAGTTTATCGATGCCATTATTTATTGATTGATTATCTATTTATTTATTTTTCCACATGAAAGCTCACCATCATTTACACTAAAGCCATTGGTTTGGCATGCTTAGGATTTAAAGTTTAAATATTCCACACGTACTCTTAAACAACATATCTTAAGTTCAACTGCTACATTTCTCTAAAAAAATTTCACTCCTATTTTGCAGTCAACTGGCTACTGTTGATCACAGTCCCAGGAAAAGCCTGCAAATCAATACAAAAGAGCTGGTATTTGACAAAAAAACGACATTAGCACTAAATAAGGCATCACTGCTCTGTTAGAAAGCTGGATAAAGCCTTGGAAAAAAGGAAAGCCCTCTGTAAAGAACCATTATTATAAGAATCATAGGCCCTTGTGTTTTAGAAATAATAAAATAATAGCGACTAACTCTTGAGAGCTAAGTGGTACTACGCATAGAACGAGATAATCCAGGTAAAACACTCATTCTCCCTACAACTCAAGAGATGGATATTATTTTCATTTTATAGATAAGAAAACAGAAACACAAAATGGGAGATGCAGATCTCAACCCAGAGTCCATGCTTTTAACCAAATGTTCTTTTAAAAATGTAGCGACTTCTCTATTTGTAAGGAAAGAGTCTTCTAACTACATGATTCTGTGCATGAGATTTATCCTAGCTCCTAAAACACATAAAAATTTGTGTTTTATTTCCTTTTAATATATGTCATGACTTACCAATCTATCAGGTATATGTCTGGTGTAAGACTGTAAGACTTGAAATGAAGAAATAGTTTGGAGAGATTTTCTTCAAAGAATACTTCAAACGTCGCAAAATATTTCAACATCTAAGACAGAAACATCGATCAGATTATGAAAGAGTATACTCTAGAGCTGTTGTTGTTGTTATGTGATGTCCAGTCAGACCCAACTCATAGCGACCCCTCCTTGGGTTTCCGAGGCGGTATCACTTGGTATCAAACGTGGAAGTAGATTGCCCAAACTTTTTTCCGAGGAGTGGTTGATGGGTTTGAACCGCCAGCCTTCTGGCTAGCAGTCAAGTACTTTAGGCACTATGCTACCAGAGCTCCCACTCTAGAGCTAGAGAGATTAAATCTCTAAATGAACTCAACAGAAAACCTTGCTTAGCATCTCTTACTGAACCTTCTTTCTCATCAAGCATTTCTAAAGCTGTAATTCAATGAAAAGTTCACATTAAACCAGATTATCTTAGTCTCCTAATTATTGTTTTTCAATCAAAAAGTAAGTTCAGACTATAGAAACCTACAGTTAAGGGAAAACATGATCCATTCCAAATGTCCATACCATGCTGTGATCCACACGAAAAAAGGCCAACTGGCATGGCTTATTCAGGAGATTTGCAAATGCAATGAAAGCATCTGCCTCTTCCAAATTGAGAATGAGTACTGCTGCAATGAAGGACATCCCTTGCACCTTCAAAAGAAAACGAAGTTAACCAAAATGTGTTTGTAATAAAAATTCTATATAGTTTATTTTATTGTACTGCTGAAATATTACAAAAGTGACATTAAGAAGTAGAATTAACCAAGATTTGTTTTTTCCTTCCCAACAAAGGCAAAACCAGAAAACCTACCAGTAGTCACAAATTCTCCCTAATATGATATCTTGTCTGTTTGGCATGGCTTTAAAAAGCATTAAGGTGCTCTGGTGGTACACCTGAAGGCTGGCAATTCAAACCCAACAGCTGCTCC